TAGTAAAAGAATATTTTGTATTTAGTAAAAGTATTTAGTAAAAAGAATAAAGCTTTGGGGCACTTCATATTGTAGAGATTTAACAGAGCAATGTAAGAACCAACAGAGAATACTTAAGAGAAGTGCATGAGGGCTAGGAGGAAAACCAGGAAAGTTGTAGATTATGGAAAGAAGCTGTTCATTTTCAGTAGCTATAAAAAATTACCTAGACTGAATACCTTATGAAGTAAAGAGTTTTATTTCATGGTTTTGGAGGTTGACATTATAAGATCAAGTGGCTTTTTCTGTTTGGCCTCTAGTCCCCCCCACCCCTAGCTGTGTCACAGCAGAATGAGAAGCAGAAAGGGAAATGGTCACATGCAGAAGTGGCCAAATACAGAGACTGGTCTCGCTTTGTAATAATCCACTCTTGCAAGAGCTAACTCACTCCAAGTGTTGAACACCAGTACCTTCTGAGGATGGTACGCCCAGAGACCTAACTGCCTCTCACTAGGCGCAGCCTCTTAAAGGTTCCAACACTTCAACATTGTCATACTATAGACCAAGCCTCCAGCACACGAACTTTTTGGGGAAACCACATCCAAATCATGGCAGAAGCCAAGAGAGAGTCAGTATTTTATAAGTTAATTCTTTATTCCTTTATTATAGCACTTAACACTTTATATTTTAATTTGCTTAAGTCCATCAGTGTTTTCCATTAGAATTTATTGCCCTATGTTGCATATAACTATTGAACAGTTAGAATGTGACTCTTGTTACTAAGGAACCAAATTTTAGATTAATTTTATTTAGTTTGAATGCCAATAGCTGAAGTGTATGATGTAGATGCTTCCCCAAAGACCATGTATTTAGGTCTTCAAAGGGAAGGCATATACCTCATAATAGCTCCATAGCAAATGTGAAAATAATTATGTTGATACAGATACTTGAGAAGAAAATGCCTGTTTTATTCATAAAGGCAATCTAAGGTGGACCATTCAAATGCTTCTCATTTCTGGATGCTATATTAGTCAGCTCTTGCTGCAATAACATTAAATAATAAACAACCCTATTTTCTCAGTGGCATATAACAATAAAATGCATTTCTTGCTTGCCTGTGACTTGGCTTTAGGTTGTGAATCGAGTTCAAGTATGTTCCATGTCTCTAGGGATGTTCAGACATTTAGAAGGCTAAGCCAGACTGCCACAACCAGTGCGGTTAAAAAGGCAGGTTCTGGCGACGGGCGAAGGGGATAATAAAATAAAGACACACGTATAGATATTTTTGAAGATAAAGCTGGGGTCAGGTGGAGCACTGCTGTCTGATGGAGAAGCAGATCTAAAGAGTTATGCCAGCAATCTTTAAAAAAATTTTTTTTTGTTGTTGATGGACTTTTATTCATTTATTTATATGCAATGCTGAGAACCCATTGCCTCAGACATGCTAGGCAAGTACTATACCACTGAGTTACAGCCCCAGTCCCCCTGCAATCTTTATATAAGTCTTATTATCTGATTAAAGACTATGCAAGCATTATTCTTTGTATTCAGGAAAGTTACAGGGTTAGCAACAACACTATGCAGCTTATTCCAAAGTTACGTTCTACAGTTGCAATGTGCACTGTTAGGAGCTTTGTGTAGTTCTCAAGAAACTTCATTGTTTGAAATTACTGTTAGGTGGGCAGGTTCAGGAGCAGTGGAGCTGGCGAAACATTGTGAATGTCTAGCAAGAGAGTTCCTTTATTCCCAGGAGCTGTGTGCCTGAGATCAAGGTCGAAGCTGATAAGGAGCATAGAGCCTCCTCATGGAGGGTATTACCACATCAGCTAGGCATCCTGCTCCTTTGCACAGAAATTTTCCCAGGCACCAAGAATGCCTCAGTCAGGAGTTCATCAGAGACCCCAATCTCTGTTACCATTCTCCCATTTTCTGTTACCACTCTCCACACCAGACCTTGTAAACAAATTTAAAACCTCTGTCACATCCCCCCACCTTTTTTTTTTAATTATACAGGACAGTAGAATGTACTTTATATTTTTTGTTGTTGTTATTTTTACTTATACTTGACAGGAGAATGTTTTTTGATGTACATACATGGAGTATAACTTTCCATTCTCGTTGTAGTACATGATGTAGTGTTACACTGATAATCGTATTCATATATGAACATAGTAAGGAAGTTATGTCCACTGATGCATTCTACTGTCTTTCCCATTCCCATCCCTTCTCCCTTCCTCCCATCCCCCCTCCCATCCAGTCTTATGAACACCCCCCCACCCCTAGCATCTGCATATGAGAGAGAACATTTGGCCCTTGGGATTGGCTTATTTCACTTAGCATGATAGTCTCCAGTTCCATCCATTTACCAACAAATGCCATAATCTCATTCTTCTTTATGGCTGAATAATATTCTATTGTGTATGTGTTCCACATTTTCTTTATCCATTCATCTGTTGAAGGCACCTAGGTTGGTTCCATAGCTTAGCTATTGTGAATTGAGCTGATGTGGCTGAATCCTATAGTATGCTGATTTTAAGTCCTTTGGATATAAACCTAGGAGTGGGATGACTGGGTCAAATGGTTGTTCCATTCCAAGTTTTCTGAGGAATGTCCATACTGCTTTCTAGAGTGGTTTCACCAATTTGCAGGCCCAGCAGCAATGTATGAGTGTACATTTTCCCCCTCATCCTCACCAACATTTACGGTTACTTGTATTCTTGATAATTGCCATTTTGACTGGAATGAGATGAAATCTCAGGTAGTTTTGATTTGCATTTTTCTAATTGCTAGAGGTGTTGAACATATTTTCATGTTTGTTGACTGATTGTATTTCTTCTTCTGTGAAGTGTCTGTTCATTCTTTAGCCTATTTAGTGATTGGGTTATTGTGTGTGTGTGTGTGTGTGTGTGTGTGTGTGTGTGTGTTAAGTTCTTTAAGGTCTTTATGTATCATGGAGATTAATGTACTATCTGAGGTGCAGGTGGCAGCATTCATTAACATTGTATTGGCCAAAATAAGACAGGATTTAGCTCCAGTAAGACTGGAGTACAGAATCATTTTCTTCCATGGAGTGTGAGGAGAGAAAAGTGTATTTACTAACCAATAATAAGCACTGATCCAGTATTGGCTTTCTTTTTTTTTTATTGACACCTGGTGATGCTCATTCCTGTCTTCCCCCTACCCTGGAACTTTTAGCAATGTCTGGAGATATTTTTGATTATTGTGATTGTAGGGAAAGAAAGTGATAGGTTTTGATTATCCTCTGGGGATATAGCTTGGTTGGTAGAGTGCTTGCTTCACATACATAAGGCCCTGGGTTCAATACCCAGCACCACCAAAAAAAACAAAACAAACAAACAAAACAAACAAACCACAATTGAAACACCAAAGTTCATTGGAAATATAGGAGGGTATGAATAGGCATTTGATATAAAAATATAATGATTAATAAAAATATGGAATATAGTTTTTTACCTGTCAGGTTAGTAAATATTTAAAAGATTAACTGTATTTTACCATGAGTACAGAGCAGTGCTGTCCAATAGAAATATAATGCCAAACACATATATATTTAAAGTTATCTAATAATCACATTTAAAAAGTAAAAAGAATAGATGCAATTATTTTTTTTCTCATTGTGTCCATAGTATCATCTCAACATGTAATCAATATAAAAACTTTTGGATAATTTTTTTCATACTAAGTTGAAAAATCTAGTGTATAAATTTCAGAACATCTCAGTTTTTACTAACCATGGAGAGGAGATAGATGTTCTCATACATTATTGGTGAGGAGGTATTTTGGTTTTGACAAGATTTATCAAATGAAAAATCATTGACTTTGGATTCTATTCCTTGAAATTCATCCTCCAGAAATAGTAACATGTATTTAGAGATTATAGATAGGTTGTTACAGTATTGTTTGTAATCACAAAATATTGAAAACAAACTAAATGTCATGTAAGGATTTGGTTTAAATATGGTATTTCCAGATGGGGATATACTGTATAACCTTTAAAAATGTGGAAGCTGCTTGAGATATTGTGTTAATAAATATTAGATGATTTAGTATTTAGAATGCTTAGAATGTGTCTGGCCCATAGTAAATATAGTATCACCATTTGCAGTTATTATTATAATTATTAATTTATTACTATGGAATAATATTCCAGATATGTTAAGTGGAAAAAAAAACCCTCACTATAATCCAGAACTATATAGTTTGCTATCATTGTGCCAAGAGATGGGGAAAGAAACTAGTCCTTGCTTTTATATGCATGTGGTATCTGTGAAAAGATTAACAAAAAACTGATAACATTGACTATATTTGGAGAGGAGAACAAAATGGTAGGGTGATAGTGACTATTCACAATTTTCTTTTTGTACCTTTTAAATTTGATCCATAATGACTATATTATTTAGTCAAAAATGAAATATAAATTAAATCCATTCTTTTAAAAAATGTACTCTTCTGTAGTTAGTATGAATTATTATAGTTTACTCAGGGAAAAGCACAGGATAGTTCAATTTCACTAATCTATAATGGCTGGAGGACATAGGATTCTAGGTAAACTTGATTTTGATTAATCAGAAGCTCTTGGTTTCACAATGTATATGCCTTTTGAAAATATTTCTGAGTCATCTTTGTCTTGTCATAGTAAGCATGGCATATTGAACTTCATAGAATTAAAGGATTTTGCCAGACACAGGGATCACTCTAATTATCAGCTTCTAAAAAGTATAAGAAACTGATTCAAACATACAGAGTTTAGAGTAAGTATCCTGGAAGATGTTTTTAAGAAGCCAAGAACTAAAAAAGTTCATCTGAATATAAACTTTTGTATGTACAAGTGATATTTGGTGAGTTGGAATCTGGATTAAAAAGTAGAAGAATTCTGGGTTAAGTTTTATATTTCTGACAATCTTGCTATCAAAATTTCTGACAAATATATATGATACTTTTATGTTTTGAGTATATAGCTCTTTTTCTTGGAAATTTATTGACTCTCTTGGTTTTTTTAGGATTTGGAGTGGATCAGTTACGAGATGACAATCTAGAAACATACTGGCAATCAGATGGGTCCCAGCCTCATTTAGTGAACATCCAGTTCAGGTAATTTAAAAAATTTTTTTTAAAGAATCAAATCAGTATAGTTTATTAACTCAAAACATATTGCGCGCGCACACACACACACACACACATATATATATATGTATATATGTTAACAGGAACTTCTTTCTACAAATGTCTGTGTAGTTTTACTTCTCAGTATTTGCTCTTATGCAATCCTATCAAAACTATGTAATTGTTTATTCTGCATCCCTCAAATACAAAATTGGTTTAGTAGGTTGATTGTGATATTTTTCTCCTTATATGATAGATTTTTGTTTAGTTGAAAGTTTTTTGAGACCTTTATAAAAATTAAAGGTTAAAGGCAATTAATATAAGCTGTTTCATTATTCTGAAGCTATTTTTTCTTCAGTAATTCAGACTTGTACTATATAGAAATGATACTATGTATCTGCATTAAAACTTTTAAACTCTAATACATTTTAGCGATTAATTTTCTACTCAGCTAGATTCTAATTGGTTAAGTTTACTTTGCTGCATTATCTTCTTTGAATTTCTTACAGTACCTTTTATAGTTCCTTTAATGTAGTTGCTTCTTAAATATATTTTTCAATATGATTTATTTTTAGAAGATGCTTTCAGAAAATTCTATTTTGCTTATGGCCCAATACATTGCCATAGTGCATTGAGGGAACCTGGAGTGGTAATGGTAAGTTCTGTAGGCATAGATTATTCATATCACTTCTCAAATTTATATTTCTATTTTTTAAAAATAACTATTTTAACTTAGACTCTCTAAAGACTTTTCAGTTTTTCTCGGAGAAAGGAAAACAACCATATTTTGTCAACTGCTTTGAATTTATTGACAGATTGGAAACCAGTTAACTGTTTAAACATTCTATCACCATTGCATTTTTAATTGTTTTTATTGTCCTAGGGTACAAATCAGCAAACTTCACTTGAAATAGCCAGATGGTAAATATTTTACTCTTTTAAGGCACTAGGGATTAAACCCAAAGCAACTATATCCCTAATCCTTTTTATTTTTAAGACAGGGTATTGTTAAGTTACTGAGGACCTTGCTAAGTTGCTGCTATTATAATTAAATTAAGATATTCATTATTTAACTTCTAAGCTATATTCAGTTTTTAAAAAAATATTTATTTTTTAGTTGTAGTTGGACACAATACCTTTATTTTATTTATTTATTTTTATGTTGTGCTGAGGATCAAACCCAGGGCCTTGGAAGAGCGAGGTGAACGCTCTACCGCTGAGCCACAACCCCAGCCCAAGTTTTTAAGTTTGACTTTAAACTTGCAATCCTCCTGCCTTAGCCTCCTAAATTGCTGGGGGATTACAGGCGTGCACCATTGCACCTGGCCAGTTAGTAAGTATTTTAAATCTTGTGGGCCCTCTGATCTCTTGCAGCTATGTAGTTCTGCCATTAAGCACTAAAGTAGCCATGGATTGTGCACAAATGAATGAATTTAGGTCTTCTAATTATTTTATCTTATACAAGCAGGTGGTACTAGGTTATTAAATATATAGAGACTCCTGTGCTAGGTTATTAAATATGTAGAGACCAGCAACAACAGCAGCAGCTATTTTTTTTAAGACTTGAGATTTTAACAGATGCTTCACAAAATTACTTACCTATTCATCTCATTTAACCTTTATATTGATTATTATTATTATTTTTAGTCTCAAAAGTGAAGACTTAGATAAATTAAATAACTTGCCCAAGATCACATAGCAGGTAAGTGGTAGAATTGCAATTTGAACACAAGTTCTGATTTCAGAGCCTGTGCTTTTAATTATTATACTGTACAACCCAGAGTAAAACAGAGGCTTTAGCTTAAAGTTGAATGAGTATCTTAATTTAATTGTATTTTAATTGCAGTGTTTTTTTTTTCAAATAAAATTCTATGCAGAATGCTAATGCACTGAACAAATAATAAAAACAAATCATTTATTACATTTATTGTCTCACTGAATTTAAATTTAAAATTTAATAGTTATAAATTTAATAGTTAAAAGTTTTTGTAATCCAGGTAACAACTTTCTAAGATGCAGGTTCTATTTTTTTTTCCCCTTGTTTACACACAAACAAACTAAAACTTAAGACAGATTAAATAATTTGCTTATGTCCTACATCATTCATTTATGGAGTCTGGATTTATCCCAGTTGGTTTGACTTAAAAGGCTGAGTTTATAATCGTACTCTGAGCTGCTTTTCAACATAGATGTAGCTGGTTTTATTAAAGCAGTCAAGAACTCAAGGCCCTCTTCACTTAACACTTTTCCTCCTGAGGGAAGCCCAAGGCTTTGAGAAAGGCATTTTTAAAGCAGTGTTTTAGAAAAAGGGAAATTCATTAAGAATTTTGAAATCTCACAGGTAAGAGTTGCAAGTACAGTATGAGGTTTTTTTTTTCCCTAAATTATTTCATATCTCTGCAATTCTTTAGTATGTCATTCTTATAAAGAAGGATATCTCCTACTAAAAATATACCCTTAGAAAATTAATGTTGACACATTATTGCCACTGAATTTTAAAACACCATTTGGGTTATACCAGTTGTCCAACAAAATTGAATCACAGATTGAATTTAGTAATTACTTCTCTACTTTTATTTATTTATTTTTGGTAGTGTTGGGGATTGAACTTTGAACATTCTAGGCAAGCATTTACCACTGAGCTACATCCCTAGCCCTCTTCTATCTTTTCATCTGGAACATGACTTCATTTTTTCCTTGACTCTCAGTATCTTAACACATTTTTTGGAGAGTAATGGCCACTTGTTTTAAACAATATTCCTCAATTTGGGTTTCTCCAATTTTTTTTTTCATAAGTCACTTTAGGCTACGTATCACTAGAAAAAGTAATGCAATACCCTTTGCATTACATTGCATCCTATCAGGTGTGGTCCATGAATTAAATTTTGTCCCATAATGTTTACTTTTAGCACATGATTAAGCAATTGTCTACCAAGCTTCTACACTGAGGAGAGTTATTCTTTTACCTTTGCAGTTAGTAATTATTTTGTGGAGAGGTACTTTGAGTATTCTATTCCTCATTTAATTTTCACTTTATTCATAATTACAGTTTTCAGTTTTACTGAATGGATTATTATCTTTTATCATTATTTGTTTCAGTGCTCAAATTGTTCCAGGTTTGGCCATGGGAAGTCCCTTTAATCTAACTACGTAACTTTTTGATGTGTTCCCATCGTTATTTGAACACTTTTCTTTCTGGCATAAGATTTTCTGCTCAGCCCCTAGAATCAGCCATTTATCCAAGAGATCTGGCTTCTTTTTTTGGAGCATAGTACATAGAGACCAATCTGGTGTTGGGTGTGCCTCTTCTATTGGGATATTGCTGTTCCTTTCTCACTGTTTCTGACTTGTCAGGCTTGATAGTATGGGAATGGAGAAGAGGTAAGGAAAGTCAATAATGGTGATCTGGTATTATTCACTGGACTTGCCTTTAGTTTAAAGCGGCCTCTGTCTTATGGATGCTTTTGTGGGTTGAGAGAATCAACCTTCATAGTCACTTCATGCTGTGGATGATTATCTTGTTGAGGGTGCATTCATCATTTATCCCTTCAAATTCTCAACTTCTGGTTAATACCTCCAGCTTTCTGCTAAGCACTGTTCATCCTTCCTAAACAGAAACCAAGATAACCCTTCATGTTACCATGTTATGATTCCTTCTCTTCCTGGAACCCCAAGACTGTTTTTTGTTGGTTTGGAGTAGGGACTATATTTTCTCAAATGCCTTTTCTTATGGCATGCCATCATATATATATATTTTTTTACTATGTTGAGGTGTTAAATTAAAAAAATTATAGTAAAATATATTGAACATAAAATTTACTGCTTTAACCATTTTTAACTGCATAGTTTAGTGGCATATTCATACTGCTGTATAATTGTTACCATTTTTCTTCATCCAAAACTGAACCCTTTGAATAATGACTCTCCATTCCCTCTCCTCCTCAGTTCCTAGCAACCAGTTTAATTTGCTTATTTGTTTATTTGACTTTTATAGGTACATTATATAAGTGAAATTATATGTTGGTCCTTTTGTGTCCTTCTCATTTCACTTTGGTTCAAGGTTTATTCCAGTTATAGCATGTATTTCAATTTCATTCCTTTTTAAGGCTGAATAATACTCCATTGTGTGACAATACCACATTTTGTTTATTCATTTGTTAATAGACATTGGGTTGTTACTACTTTTTGCCTATTATAAATGATACAGCTATGAACACTGGTGTTCAGATTTCTATGTGAGTCTCTTGTGTTCAGTTTTTTTTTTTGAATATGTGTATGTCCAGAAGTAGAATTGCTAGAAATGGTAATTCTGTTTAATTCTTTGAGGTACTACCATACTGTTTTCAGCCGTAGGTTTACATTACTACCGGTGATGCAGAAAAACTTTAATTTTTTTGTATCTTTGCCCATTCTTGTTCTTTCTTGTTTTTTATTTTTTTGTGTTTTGATAATGGCTATCTTAATGGATGTGTAGTGGTATCTCTTTATAGTTTTTATTAGCATTTTCCTATTGGCTAGTGATGTTTAAGCTTCTTTTTGTGTGTTTAGTGGCCATTTATATGTCTTCTTTGGAGAAATGACCATTCAAGTCTTTTTCTCCTTTTTAAATTGTGTTGTTTGTGTTTTCATTGTTGAGTTGTAAGACTTCTTTAAATATCCTGGTGTAGCCACTCAACATGTTGTTATTGTAGTAGTATAGCAGCCAGAGACATGTGTAAATGAGTAGGTATCATTTTGTTTCAATAAATCTTTCTTTAACAAATAGGTGGCAGCCCACATTTGACTTGCTAGCTGTAGCTTGAAAATCCCTGTTCCAGGGCACCATTTCTTGATTATGGTCTTAATACCACTTTAAATTGACAACTTTTGTTTATTTTTATTTTTTTGTTTATTTTTATACTTAACATTTACCATGTTAGGAATTATAGATAAGGAATTTAAGTTTATCATAATTATTTTCATTATTATTTTGTGGTACTGGGGATTGA